TATTTGATTTATAAAACCAGTGATCTAGTATTATTTATTTGATGACGTTTCGACCATAAGTAAGTACTGCTCATAATCCTATCAATGTGTAATCACACAGCACTTCCAACATCTGATCTTTATGGCTATATCACTTTATATGAGTTGTTTTTATTAGTAGCAACATTTCCATATCTCTGGTATAGATAGGTGTTGCGTCATTTCTATTACATGTGTTGAGTGTTGATTCGATGAAAAAAGATTCAGTATTCAATCTCTCTCTCTCTCTCTTCACCTAGTTGTATTGGACTAAAGTACAGTGGCTTTATCCCACCCTATTGTCTAGTTGTGTGTTAAATGCATGCATAGCAAAAACCGAGTCACCTTCTAGACTATTGATCTTATTTACGTCTCTTATTCTATATTTAGATAAATTCCTATGTTCGGCTATTCTAACTGACCCCGATCGACTAGTTTGACCTATATACTTTACCTCATAGTCATTACATGGAATTTGATAGATTAGATTATATTGCTCAATTGGTTCTATCGGATGCTTAAGGCAGCCCACAAAGTTTATGTCTGAGTGAGTTTGTTGGTTTAAATGCCAACCTAATTCCAGGTATGTTGAGGATTCTATGTAAAGTTTCTGAGGTACCCTCCTTATAGGGTAATACAATGGAGGCTATGAACTCCTTTGTACTCGTGTTGTTATTAGTCGAACTCATATGACTGTTATTTTTTCGTTTCTTGTGTGTTCGTAAGAATTTCTGAATAAACTGCTGAGGATAATTATCAACTTTTAGAGCTTCTTTTACGTGTTTCAATTCGTTGTTTAGGTTCTTGTTCTGACTAGTCAGTTTTCTAGCTCTATCACTTAGACATTTAACTAATGTTGCCTTAACTGACATTGAATGGGATGAGGGGTTGTCAACTGTCAAAACTGAAAAAATATTTCTAAAATTCTACCCCAAAAATAAATGGCGAGTTTATTTGGCTTAAATCAAAATTCGAATACGATACATAGTCGTAAGACAAGTAAACGACATCAGCTTCTGAATATCAGAATAGTTGAGTTACACAAACTGGAAAATGTTGGCATAAGTATATGTTGAATGGTTGATGAATAGATTGATTACTGCTCATTGAGACTATCCTACTAGTTCGAGTCAGGGGACATAAAACTGTTAACTAACGAGAATGGATTGTTGTCAATTCAGTGCTGGTGGGAAGACTTGAACCACTAGATTCAAATCTAGTGGCTTTTTAAAAATCTGACGATCCTACATAATTCGTTACGCGATCTAAAACTACCCAATGAGGTACTATTAGGTTTTCACTGGTTCTCTAAGCGATAACTATTCATAATAAATACTTCCTTAAGATCAATCAGTCCTTATAAACCAATCAATGATGAACATTTTATTCTATTCATCAATGAAATCCTATCGAATACACCCATTACGTTGGTAATTCCTATTGTGATATCAAAAACAAGATATTCAGCGAAGTAGACTCTTTTCAACGAATTTATTCTCAACCTGGATATTCGTGTATATATATATCTTATTTAAAGACTGTAATCCGTGTTACATATATGATTTCATTGATGCATACAATACAGAAGTAGGAATTCCAACAAACTACTTGAGAGAGTTATTGATGAGATGTATTTTTAATGTATAATCTAGTTTCGATGGTGAGGTATATCGGCAAATGATGGAATCGTAAAGGAATCCCCCATGGGGACCTCTAATGGCACATGTTTTACGTCACAACTAGAAAAAACTCTGCTCTTAGCTAAACTACTCATCATCTTGACATTTATAAACAATATATGGATGATATATTCGTTATTTACGACTAAACTATGGTCTGGATGACATCCTACTCAGCTATGGAATTCACTATGAAAAGGAAATTGGAATCAGCTATTCCTTCTCTTGATGTGCTGATTACGAGACAAGCAATGAAACGCTGAAAAGATCCATCTACAGGAAACGTAAATGGAATGGACAACTTATTAATTTTTATAGGTGGGTGCCGATTATGAGTAAAAGAAACCTCATTCTCCTACTCTGCTATCAAATACGTAATGTTTGTAGCGCAGACTGTGTCAAGTTGACTTGACTTTCCAAGAGGAACTCTTGCGGCAAACGCATATCCTAGTCGAATTATTGATACGAATATGTGAGAAAGACATGAGAAACTAGTCATCAGCTCAATTTCTAAAAACACTTTGTTTATGAATCTGGAAGTTAAAGGTGATACAGCATCAGATATCCTGAAAAATCTTCTTTCCAGATCAATTAGTAAGACTATTTCTTTACCCAAACTTTATTTGATCTTTATCAGTCATAATTTTTCCTCCATTTGCATAAAAGACCATATCCCTCGATGGGCCACATCCATGTGTATCTGCCAGTTCGCGTCCTCCTGTGGGCAAGGTACATTGGTCGTAGTCAGAGATTTCTGTCAACATGTATTATTATTATATTTATTAGTCCCTTGGGTCCTATGGAACATAGGGCTTCAGTAGCACGTCTCCAGTGAACTCTGTTCTCTGAGATCTTTTGAACCTGGTTCCACGAAAGCCCACAACCTCTCATTTCCTCCTCGCACGACCTCCTCCATTGCACCCTCGGCACCGACACCCAACTCGTCGCTTCCAATGGGGATCCCACTAGAGCGACTAGCCTGACACGTGATGTCCTCAGTCGGCCTTCTCAGTGCATGGCCTATCCATCTCCACTTCCTCCTGCATATTTGTTGGGTGATAGGTTCTTGGTGGTTCGTTCCCAGAGTTCCTTGTTGCTTATTTTTTCTGGCCCATCTGATCTTCAGTAGCGAGCGTAAGCAGTTGTTGATGAATGTCTGTAGTTTATTGGAAATCCTTTTCGTGACGCGCCAACTCTCTGAACCATCACACAGAAGCACTGACTTGACTGGGTTGGTGTTGAAAATCCGTATCTTGTTCCGCATGCTGAGTGCAGATCTCCACACTAGTTTCAGGCTAATGAACACCTGTCTTGCTTTTCCGATTCTGACTTTGACATCCTCGTCCGTCCCGCCTGTAGTTGAAACAGTGCTTCCTAGATAGATGAAGGAGGTTACTTCCTTTAAGTTTCTCCCGTTGATGGTGACTGGAGTTTGTTGTTGTTGTTGTTGGTTGGGTATCTTCATCACCTCTGTCTTCTCTATATTCACCTGAAGTCCCGTCTTCGCTGCCTCTTCTGACAACTTGTTGGTTTTCACCAGTAGATCTTCAAGTTTGTGTGACATCAGGCACAAGTCATCACTAGCGAAATTCAGATCTTCTAAATTCTTTTCTGCAGTCCAGCCAGCGTGTCCCCCCTTCTCACTCCCCACTGTTTGCTGCATGATCCAGTCCACCACAATCAGGAATATCATGGGGGATAGTAGGCAACCTTGTTTCACTCCTTCCTGTCCTCACTTCAAAAGCATCACTGAGCTTCCCATTGTGAATTACTTGGCATGTGGCATCTTCATATAGTTGTTGAATGAGGCGGATAAAGGTTTGCGGTACTCCGTAGTATTGAAGCAGTTTCCAAATTACTTCTCGGTCGACGCTGTCAAAGGCCTGTCAACATGTATACAAGAATATATTCCTGACTGGTTTGATAAGGGTGGAAGAAAATACATAAGTTCTATCCTTAAACATTTAATCGATTCCAACCATTCAAAAGATCGAAACAATGATTTTGACATTGTCTATCGAATTTGCTCGAACATCGCACGTTTCTTCCGTGTTCAGCTTCTAAAAACGCAGAGGCCTTGGCTATCCATGAACTGTAGCCTAACCTTTGTGTATAGACAACTTTTATGTCTACCTTGGGCCTTAACTTATTTTAGTATTGGTGTGCTTCATTCCTTTTTCATTTTTCCCCGTTCCAACTTTTTTTGTCAGATTAATCTTTTGCACTCTTATATTATCATTATAATTTTTACGTTTACATTTAATTATTTCTGGTGTTATTTCATTTTATCTTCTTAATAATTGAAACTTTTAACAAAACATTATCAATTTACTCCAATTAGTCTGTTATCTAACTCATATTACGTAACCCTTTGATTGTTTATTAACTCGACCATGTTTTCACCTCTTTGTAATCTATATGCACCTTATAAACGATTTAAGATTCTTACGTAACATCTTTTTTGTTATCATTCGTGTGTCAAGTCAAGTCTCATAGAAAATATCACTCACTGTCAATAGAAGTCGAACAATTTGACTCTGTTCAACAGCAAAAACTACTAGTATTATAACAAAAACTGATATGCGGTGCCTAACAAGTCACGGTGGCATATCGTACAATGCTGTGTTGCTTGCAGTAATGAGTACTGGGTTCAAGTCTCGGCAGGAACAACATCATTCACTTGAGCGCAGGTACATCTAGCTGACAAGTCTTAAATGGGACGAAATCCAAGTCCTGGATCCCATTGTCAGCAACATCATCCCAGATGTATGGAAGATTCTATTACCCTTATCGTCAAAGAGAATGCGAGAGAATTGGGGATATAAAAACTCTGTCTTGAAGTTGTACAGTTACCTGATCTGAATATGGACGATAAGTTGTGTCCGAAAAGTTGTCATCCAGTAAATAATACTGTTCCTTCACTATGTGGTATTTCTAATAAAGAGACGAAAATAGATTTACAATCCATCACAATACCAAAGGTTTACTCCTATACTAGGTCAGGTGATTTGAACAGTTTGACTACTTAGGCATAATTTTTCCTAAAACAGCACTTATGACCTCCACCCAAGGTATGTGAAATAGCCATAGAGTATTCAAATAACTCTTATCAGGTTAGTGAAATCTACAAATCGGTTTGAATAGTTTCTAACCAGGATGAACACTACTTATAGTAATGAGAACAGGAGTGTAAATGCCAATAGAGACCAATTAATTAGGTCCAATCAACGATGATATAATACAAGCAATAATACTGTTGAAAATCAACAACTGAAGTTTAGAACAGCTTAGATATGTACTTACTTGTACTATGAGTTGGATTAATTGAAGTTTCAGTTGTTGATATTGTTTTCGATATGATTGTTGATGTAGGAACAAGTGGTTGTTCTGACTTTGAATTTTTATTTTTATTAAAAGTAGACAAATTTGTAAAGCATAAACTGCATTGATTACAACATAATGGTGGAGATGATGTTGATGATTTCCCTCTACGAATATTCTGTCTAGATGAAGATTTATGTTTTGTTGGTGAAATATTTGAAATGTGTTTCATTGTAGGATTTGATGTATACATTGTTCTGTCAGAATTTAATTTGAATATGATAGATGAAGTTACTGGAGGTTGAGGTGCAGGTGATTTTTTATGACTTCTTGGTACTGTAGATTCACTAGAAAGTGTTCTATATTGATATGATGATTGATGTGTTGATGTTGGTCTTTTTTCAAATTTGACCAATTTTGTTTCTGTGCCAACTTCATGTGACTGTGTAGATGTTGAAGCAGCATATGTACTAGACTTCTGAGCTGATTTGATTACAGTGTCATTTGATGGCATCTTGTGTTTCACATATGACTTTTCTTTAGATGATTGAATACGCCAGGTTTTATATGATCTATGGTATATAACACTGTCAATGTATCGAGCAAGACCATCTGTTATAGTCTGACTTGAATCAGTTGGTGTACAGTTGATGCGTACTGCACTACGTATAATTCGTTGAACATGAAATCCTGAATGATTCTATAATACAATACAATAATACGTAGAAATAAAATCAATGTTAAACCAACCAACGTACGTCATTGATTTCACAAAACAATGATAATTTGCTATCCATAACATCTAGGCTTAGACTTCAGGATTCGTGTACTAGAATGAAACAACAATTCACTCCTCTAAGAATTTAAATGTTTCCTCAGCTATTATCGGTCAGTGATAAGCTTTCGATAACTTGTACAGGTTTTATTCTCTAAAGCAAGCGATTTCCAAGATAGTCATGAAACATTAGAAATTTCTTTTTCTACTTCATTTGAGATTTTACAAACGTTAAGTTATACAAAGATCATTCAACAATCTGTTCATTACTACATTCAAATGATGTAATCAAATTTATGTAATGTGAATAATCTATTTATCTGAGCTTTATACAACTGTATAACTAAGCCTGAGACTAGTGAACGAATAGCCTAAAATTTAATCAAAACTATTCATGTTATACCAGTGATAAACACTATTGTTTCGTTTAACTTTCTTCATATGTATTCATCTATCAGTTATACACAGTCAGTTCAATACATTTCAAGTGAATGCATCAACTATCTTTTCAAAATTTAATTATAAAATCTGTCTAATATGAAAAATGGAATTCACAGCTTTTTTTTTATCTCATCAGCTTACTGAATGAAGTAAGTTCAATGATCAGAAAAGATAGAATGCTATTGGCTCATAGTTTGAAACAAGCAGAACTGTATAAGCATATTGAGGGAAAGAGAAGTCGCTATTTTGATACAATGAACAACAAAAAACTATTACTAACATCATAATGGAGGTCTTGTTCCTTCACTAAAATCTCAGTTTCAGTAATCCAACTCCTATATATTCATCTCAATGATTTCTACTACGTTGAACATTTAACATCTTCAAAATTCTTTCATAATTACAAATAAGGCGATTTGTAGTAAAGAAGGTGGATGATTTATTGTTTAAGACTCTTTTTACCATACTGAACAAAATCACTGACGCAAAGTTAATTTGTGAAGTTAAACGTTAGAATTTGGTAATATCACACCTTTTTATATATTATTATTTTCCCCTTGAGTTCCCAGTGGAACATACGGTTTCAGTAGCACGCCCCCGTTCCACTCTGTTCTCTGCAGTCTCCTCAACCTGGCTCGACGACTGCACACAAGCTTTCATTTCTTTCTTACATCATCTCCTCCATGTCACCCTTGGCACCGACGTACAACTTGTCGTTTTGCCTTTGAATTCCACTCGACGGAATGGCCTGGTGCGTGATGTCCCCAGTCGGCCTTCTCAGTGTATTCCCGATCCAGTCCATCTCCACTTTTTTCTGCATATTTGTCGGGCGATGAGTTCTTGGTTGGTTCGTTGCTAGCCAGAGTTCCCTGTTGCTTATTCTTATTATTTTGGCTATCTGATCTTCAGCAGCGAGCATAGGCAACTGTTGATGGATGTCTGTAGTTTGGTGGAAGTGCTTTTCATGACACGCCAAGTCTCTTAACCATCACATAGAAGCACTGACTTACTTGACTGACATTAGTGTTGAAAATCAGGATCTTGTTCTTTGTGCTGAGTGCAGTAGATCTCCACACTGATTTCAGATTAGTGAAAGCCTATCTTGTTAACTTTCCGATCCTGGTTTTGGCATCCTCGTCTGTGCCACCTGTAGTTGAAACTATGCTGCCTAGGTGGGTATGTGAAAGAGACTATTTCCTTTCTCTCGTTTCTCGCCTTGATGGTGATTGGAGTTTGAAGTTGCTGTTGGTGGTGTCGGTTGGGTACCTTCATTATCTCCGTCTTCTCTACATTAAATTGAAGTCCCGTCTTCCTTGCCCTGCCTTTTCTGTCAACTTATTAATTTCCGCTTGTAGGTCTTCGAGTTTGCGCAAAGAGATATTAGACATAAATCATCATCGTTGTCGAAATCCAAATCTTCTAGACTCTTCTCAGCGTATCCTCCCCTTTTCACTCCTCACGGTTTGCTGCATGATTCAGTCCACCACAATCATATATAATTCAATTATTTTTCGTATTCTATTTTCACTGTATTTGATCAATTTACAAGTGATTTACAAATTGCCTAGTCTACGTTGACATCTCTCACAATTGAACAGTTTCTCAACTATCCAGCTATGGAGTCAACATGTTTTAAGGAATAAATTTAGCTCAATGAGGTGAAATCATCGGGATACACCACTGATGAGGTTGCTTCCAAATGAATGCGACAACTGTCCAGTGTTTCAGTTAGACCATGCTAATCTTAGTGGCAAAATCTACTGATAGTCCTAAGTGGTTACTAACTACTCAGGATGCTCAGTAACAGCATACTTCGTTATGTTTGTTTAGTTAAATTCACAGGTGTGACTATCACTAATCGTTGATAAGAAGGCAGGTATGGCTAATTATCATCCATAAGAGAGAAAATTTACACGTCTATCATATGAAGTGTCTCTCGTAGTTGTTTTAGCTTCATCTGTGGAAGATATTTAACTTGAATACTCAGACTGATCTGTGTTTTCCGAATACAACAGTGATGTATGCATGCATGTAGTAGGTTGCAAGAGCACAGTCATGATATGGTTGGCAGTCGGACCTCGTAGCTCAATGGGAAGAGCTTCGGGCCGGAAACCCAGTGGTCGCTGGTTCGAATCCAGCCACCGCCCTAATTTTCATTTCACCTTCAACCCTTACCCAGTATAAATACTAGTCTACCAAACCAGGGCTGCTATCTCAGATAGTCAAAACAGTGATCAGTACGTTGCTCCCCCTCTGTAATTGAATTGTTATTGGAATGGGATAAGAAGTCCTGACTAGGTAGCCAGTGTGAGTGAGATCAAGTCGTAGCAACGCGTCACGAATTCACATGGTAGCCGGGTAAAACCCATGATGAATAAAATGAGATAAAAACCTGGTCAGCAATTAGACCTTGCAACTCAGTTGGTAGAGCATCGGGCCAGAAACCAGATGGTCACTGGTTCGAATCCCTCTGCAGTCGAAATTTTTATTTCACCTTCAATCATCACCCAGTACAAATAAAAAAAGTAACACTTGTAGAACCACCTTTTTGATATTCAAAGTTAACCATGGAGTGGATATTAAGATGATGTAACTACTCACTAGGTAGGGAGATGACTAACAGTAGCCTAATTCATTTCTGAATGGTTCTCATCACAAACTGAATGATGACATGCTCACCACATGGCTTGATAGTCGTGGATGCCCACTACTAGATATTCCAGTATCACCATGGACCAGCTATCCAACCCTCAAAAGTTTACACTGGTTCCCTAATGGGTATTCATCTGTAAAGAATACTACCTGAAGATCGATCAATTCACAAAAGCTTGTGAAAAGTAGTCTTTTGTCGAATCCTTGTCAAAGGTACTAGTTTCAACTAAATTAAATCATCTTAGGCTTTCAGAGGAATGTAGTACAGTCATTGAAATATGTATGCATATAATACAGAAAGTAGACTTTGACGTTTATGAATGTCATGAAAGTAAACAATTAGTATACTTAAGTCAAAATGATAGGTATCAAGTTAATATTGAACGATTAGCCTACCTGAAGGAGCCTCCAAATAAGACAAGGTAGAAAAAATCCCGCAGCTTGTAATATAAATACAAATGTAGCCCATTGATAATAACGTACAACAGTTGTTCGTTCATTAACAGGTGGAATGTTTGATTGAATATTTGTGAAGTAAGTATTTGTTACCCAACAATAGTGTTCAGCATACTCTTCCCAGCTACGTGAAAATTCTTGTGGTATCCAACATTGTAATGGTAGATGAGCTGTTAAATAAAAGATTAAATTGGTTAAATGTTTTATATTAAAATACATATCTTAATCTTGACTAAATCATGTTTTTCATAAGTGAAAATTATGTGGACAACTTTTCAAGACCCAATAGTATGACAGGCACGATATTAGTGAAGATGAATCCACCATACGAATGTAGACCACATGGTGAATAGCTTCACAAGAAATTGTCATAAGGGTGTCTTTTGTGAAACTTTTCTCAATACCAGAGGAAGTACACTTTTTATTACTGTTGAAAGCCTCATATACTCACGAAGTTTCTTTACAGATCCTAGTAAGCTGACTCGATTGGAGGTGAAATGAAGGTTCCAGGAATGAGAGTAGTATGTAGTAGGCTAGTAGCTCAATATTCGACATATATCTGTTGTCTTCTTTGAGGTCGGTCATTTTTATTGGTATCATAAGTCGAGGGAAGCAAATATTACTGTAAAAACAATATCACGCTAATCACTACTTATAAATGCCCATATAAGTAGTTTAAACCATACCATCACATTTAACAATAATTAGTATCAAAACCGTGTTATGTGTAAAGGTTAACGGTAAAGAAAGTAATTCATTCATGTTTAATCTTTTCAGAGACATATATACCATAGATTACTCTGAGTTTACATAAAGTGCCAGGTAATTAATGTGCACATACCTTGTAGGTGTGCATAATATAAATATCAGTTCCGTTTACCTCTTTTCGAATCTTTTTCCCAGGTTCAAACTATCTAACTACCTGCTCTCATTTAATATATGACAGTTGTTTGTATTACCTAAGTAAGGGAACTCGGGACAAATCCAGATACCGGAATTGACAAACTTACTTCCGTTCATACACGATGAAGTTGTATTCCCAGCGAAAAGTTATCGATTCACACTTTAACAGTTGTTCAAGCATAGGAATACTTCTAATTTTCCGTTGCTTTACAGGGTCGAATTGCTCTACCTCTGCTAGAAAATGGGGTTCTAAGTGGATGCCTTGACACTGCGTTTGAAGCGAAGAGTAATGAGTTCGAGCCTCGGTAGTAACAACGTCGCTCACTGGAATGCAGAAACATCTAGCTGACAAGTCCTAAATGGGACAAAAGAAAGTCCGGGATTCCTCCTCGAGTCACTGAGATCATTATGAGAAGAATGTAGTTTATTCTGTCACATGTCTATAAAACACAATATATATATTACAGTAGATGTATTGAGTATGATTTTCATCATAGATTGACATCGGATGGAAAAATCACTGGAAACACAGGGCAATAGACAGCCATTTTTCCCCTTTTTACGTTACCTCTAACTGTATATACCAATCCACGTGTACTTGCTGTGATGCGAACAGATTGAAGGGTTTACAATTGTGCGTTTTTGCTGTGTATCCTTAGCGATAGTCGATAAAAAGGACAGTATGTATAAATCTAAATATAATTAAAATAAACAGGCCAACTCAAAATAGTTGCACAGCTTGAAAGTTCCTAGGGCTCTGTTGATTTTAAGTTGTCATTCATTATAGTGTGGAATCAGTTGGAAAACTATTGAAAACTTAGGAGTACTGAAAAGCTCTTTCTTTCTAAAATGGAGACCCTTCTCCCCCATCAATCCACACCCATCATCCAACCAGAAAAACAACTTTACAGTACTCTGTGTTCTCCGACAATTGTCGAACTGTGGCGAATGTTAAGCTGAAATCAAAATTTTTTGATTCTTTCTGATATGATAATAAGCAAGTGGTGAGCAACAAACATTTATTGTTGAAAAGAAGCAGATGTTAGTCTGTGTCTACCATGGTGAAATCATTTGTGTTGTTGATAATCAGTATTATGGTAATTCCATTGCACTTCCTTGATATTGTCACCTGAATTCTACTAATCATTATTTCGTTAACCAAAGTATGTTTTCTTACCATTTTCACATTTGTTTTGTGCAATCTTTCTCACTGTGTAGAATATGTTCGTATCGCTCCCTTTATGCCTTACATCCGGTCTAGAATATTCGTTGAGTCTTATCCTGCAGACACTGATTGGTTAACGGAGAATAACCAACTGAACGTTGTTTAGTCCTAAGGGGTGGTCGAATTCAGTTGATCATTTTGAAATGTGGCTACCATTGTGATACACTTAGGTATATGTTAGTTGGGTAAAGACAATCGACAGCGGCCCCTTGACCCAAGTTTCGTGTTTTCTGGCACTTGTGATTAGGGCATATCTGCGAAATCAACTGAACTAAAGTCAAGATTTGAACCCATGCGGCTTGGTGCTGCGCTAGGAAGGAGGTCAATAGAGAAACAAACAGCTCAACAGTAGCGTCTCCAACTGTATTACTGGATGGTGCGGGTTTAGATCTCAGATGGGATATCACTTCCGTCAAAATGGGGGATATATCTTGCTGACTACTGTGAAACTAATCGAAACCTGGGTAGAGAAGGGCGTCATGGTGACTGTTTCCACCAAACTTACATCTTTCGGGATATACACATGATTTTCTATACAACTGATTAAAGTAAGCAGGCACTGAATAATTAGACATTAAAAGGTTTTATGTCAGAAGTTATTGATGAGAAACCCTGAAATAAAATGGATCCCTACTCTTCGCTTAAAAATATTTTTCCTGCTCTATTTAAATTTATCATGAAGAGGAGACGTTTGCTTCGTCATCGTTTAGAACAAATCGGCGATAAAGATCCACCATCCTGTGGAGAATTGAGGGTTGTTACAAAACGTGACCATCATTTAATACCATCGGCAAGTATTTATCCTCTTGCCAAACTTGTTGTTTATTGTTCTAGCCTTCGACTATTTTCCTCTCCACAATCTTTTTCAATAAATGGGAAGAAGATGAAGGTAATTGAACTAGTATAAAAGGTCGTCAACAGGAGATGAAAAAGTGGGGTAACAGGAAAAATAAAAAAGCCAGAAGTTGGCAAAAGAAATTCAGTAGGAAAACGAATTTAGAAAACTGTGGAAAAATTAAATTATATAGTTACTGTAGAAAAGCAGAACAGAGATATATCTATTTAACTGTCATCTATTTTCAACCAAGCACTTCAAGCCGTCATAAGTTAAAATTGACTCTCTTATGCAATCCTGCACAGTAATAAATAACTAGTTATGCATAGAATATACTGTTTACAAGTAAAGACAGCTTATTCTTTGAAAACAATAGCATGATTCGATTCATATACCTAAGTGAGTAAGTCCTTAGCCAACAGTTGTGTTACCACTCGTTATGTATTCTGTTATTACGCCTGCAGCTATATCTTATGTATCGAACACAAAAGTTAATTATCCATAGAATGTATGTAACCTTCCAAGGAACTGATTTCACACTAAAGATCTAAATGGAATGTCCACAGTTGAACTTAAAACATAGGGCAAGTTGGTTCTTAGCTCAAATTATTTCGTAAAAATTTCTTATTAAGGTAGACCAGCCTGTATTGCAGTCTGTTGACCTGTATATCAATTAGAATGTTCACGCATCTCTTAATAATTCAAGGTTATACAACGAAATGTGTTATAGATAGAACATTTTTTCATTAAATAGCCTTATTTTGTCTAGAGAAAGAGTTTTTACTTTGGTAAAACATGCATTGTATATTTGTGATATGTTGAAGTTGACAACAGTCTAAGTGTAGAAATGACTTTTCTTTGTGTGTCTTACACATCCTCTCCTCATCCACACTTAGAAAATATTTTCATACTGGAGCACATTTTTAAGTCTTGTATCAAATGAATCAGGTCATCGGTTCCAGTACGTGTATCTTATATTTTATAGCGAAATTATAGAGAAGATTTGTAACCCAGGATGAGGATAACGACGGTTCGATGTTATCTAAGCGATAATATTTTATCTAACAGTGTAGTGAAATTAATAATACTGATTTGTGAAGAGGTGAGGCAGATTTACGGAGATCCGTTAAAAACCTACTCTCCAAAGCTTCCATGTTTTCAATGATCCTCTGGATGATGTCAGTCTGTAATGAATGCTAATTTGACACTACGCGAAACTATAGTTAGTGCTTCTGATAACCTTAAGTGTTATCCAGTTACAAACTAACCAAGATAGTTATGTCATACCGTTACCTCTCTGACCTTGTATCACTCTGGCTTAAGGCTGAGAACAAATCTTTGATATGACTAAACTGTCTTACTCATCACCGCCATATAGAGCTTCAGTATTGATTTGTCCAAGGGGTTTCCACTTAATTGATAGATGGTTATTTTCCTTCCTGAGTAGATTGTAAACTAGGGTTTTATCTAGGTGTCTGCAGACAGAATTTTCTATGGAATGAAATGTTTATAGAAATTCTGTTTCAGCTTGTCACCCTCCCCCTTCTATAACTTTCATGTTCTTCCAGCTGAATTTATGATTTTGATTGGCTACATTTATTGTAAACAAAGATGATATGTCGATTCACCTTGCTGCTGGCTGATTTTTATGAATGCCGTCAGCGATCCGACAACTAGAATGGCCAGTATAGTGCTGTGGACACTGTTTACAGTTGATTTTGTATCTTGTACTCCATTTGGAAACGAATCGTTTGAACTGTACAGAGTGTCAGTGTCCTACTCCAATTAGCAAGTGGTTGATAGTCTCCAAAACATCCTTTACGTAGGGTAGAGTAACATTATTATCAATTTTTTAAGCAACTACACTGTTCTGTGTTGTCCGGATAGACATTTTTTCGATAAGGTTGATTGAAGAGCCATCGTAGTAATAAAAACCAACTTCCATTCTCCTGCTCCGTTTACTTTTAGCGCTCTTCAAGTTTATAAATGATAAGAAAAGTATGACGTTTTGTATACTTTCATTGTATGCAGAATAAAATTTAAAAGTTTTGGTTATCACCTTCAGTTGAACAGCATTTCAAGTTGCTATTCTTCATGGACTCATATTAATCGGGTGACCATCAGAAAGCTGGAGGCTTTGGACATCTGTTACGCCCTACCATAAAACATGGCAGTTTAAACCAGTTCTGGAGAAGGAATCTACAGCT